CCATCCAGCCCAAGACATTCTATTTTGTCCTGCGTCTCTCCTAGTCTTGCCTGGAGTTCTTTCCTGTGCGCCTGGGGATTTTCCCAGCTGTGTTTTCGTAGGCCCCAGTTTTTCTGCTTTTTAGCCCACAGCATAACCTGCCCATTGAGGTTTCTGTTCTCCTTTTTTTAAAGACCTATTTATTTAATTGTATTATTATTATTTTAATTTACACTCACCAGAGAGAGATGTAATAAGAGAGAGGGAAAAATGAGAAAGCAAGCCCCCCAGGTCCAGTCCACCACTTTAACTACTATGCCACCTGCTGGTCCCCTTCCGTTCTCATTTAATAACCGTAATTCTGATTTCAGCATCTCTTTCTTTTAATCCTCCTGTCTTTTCCCAAGGCCTATTAGCCTGTTTTTGCTTCACATATTGTTTCTTAATCACTTTAAAGACCTGTTTTTCTTTCCAGTGTGGTAATGTCTATATAACATAAAATTTGTCTTTTTAACTTTTCTTTTTTTAATTTTTACTATAGGGAGAGTGTACTCGCCTGAAGAGACAGAAAGAGGGAAAGTAAGAAATGGCCCCCCTAGAGGATGACCGTCCTGCAATCCCTTCTAAATTCTCCTTTCAGGATTTTTTGGGCACACATTCATGCACGCCTGGCACATTTTTCAAGCCCCCTGGTCTACACTTGAACTGCAAAGTTGGCCATGTGGAAATCCAGCTCCTTAACCACCACACCACCTGCTGGCCCAGTTTTAACCATTTTTAAGTCCGCATTAAGTATGTACACGGTGTTGTGTGATGATCACCACCGCCCATCTCCAGAACGTTTTCATCATCCCACACTGAAATGTTGTTCCCATTAAATAGTAACTCCCCATTCAACCCAGCTGCGGTGGCACACACTGCTGAGACACTGCTCCTCAGCCTGAAACCATATGCATGGCCTGGGTTTGATTCCCAAACCAACCTGAATGCCAGGCATTGTGTGCTCGTGTAATCCCAGCAACTTGGGAGTCTAAGGCAGGAAGATCACAATGTTCCACTTCCTGTTTCTATTAATTCTGCTGCTGTAGGGTACCTTATTTAAGGGGAGTCAGACAGTATGCGTCCTTTTGTGTCTGGTTTGTTTCACTTGTATAATGTTCTCAAGGTTCATCCATGTTCCAGCCTGTATCAGAATGCCCTTCCTTTCTAGGTAATACTCATTGTATGTATTTACATTTTGTCTATCCACCTGTCGGTGAGCATGTGGGCTTCTTCTACCTTTAGGCTATTGTGAATAATGATGCTGTGAACACTGCCATACACGCCGCTGTTTGAGTCTGTTTCAATTACATTATGCGTATGTCCAAAAGTGGAATTGCTATGCAGGAATCCTATGTTTAAGTTTTTGTTTGTTTGTTTGTTTTTGTTTTGTTTTGTTTTGGAGAGGTTTTTGCTATAGGGCACGTGCGCTCGCCAGACAGACAGAGAGAGACAGAGAGATAGAAAGCAAGAAATCAGCCCCCAGGGAGGATGGCCATGCCGCAATCCCTTCTCCTCCATTCTCCTTTTGGGATTTTGGGCACGCACGCACATGTGCCCGGCGTGAGTTTTAAGCCACCGGGTTCAGGACGTGAACCGCGGTCGACTACATGGGAGTCCAGTGACATAGCCATTACACTAACTGCTGGTCCCTCCTATGTTTAAGTTTTTGAGAGCCCACTACGCTGTTTTCCCCAGTGACTACACTGTTTTACATTCCCACCAGCAATGCAGAAGGGTTCCAATCTTTCCATATGCTAGCAAATGTTCCTGGTTTTCTTTCTTTTTTATAATAACCATTCTAATAGGTGTGAACAGATGATCTCTGTGGTTTTGATTTGCAGTTCCCTAATTGTTAGTGCTTTTGAGCACCTTTTCATGTGCTTATGAGTCATTCTTTTTTTTTTAAGGTTTTACTATAGGGTACCTGTGATGCCAGAAAGTGACCAAGAGAGGGGGAAAATGAGAAATTACCCCCCCAGGGGGTGTGGCCATGCCACAATCCCTTCTTTTACATTCTCCTCTCCAGATTTTGGGACGCACTGACACGTGCCTGGTGTTATTTTCAAGCCACGTGGTCCAGAACTTGAACCGTGCAATTGGCCAGGTGGGATCCAGCAGCCTGAACCTCCACACCATCTGCTGGCCCATCAATCTTCGTTAGAGAAGACCTACTTCTCTAAAGTCATTTGTCCATCTTTGAATTGTGTTGTTCTCCAAGTCCTTTGCTCACCTTTAAGTGTTGAGTTTGAGGCATATAAATTCTTTATATATTCTGGATACCCATCTCCTACCAAACATATGATCTGCGAAAATTTTCTCCCATCTTGTAGGTTGCCTTTTAACCTTGCACTAAAGATTTTAATTTTGTCGAAGTCCAATGTATGCTTTTGGTGTTACAGCCAAAAAATCATTGCCAAATCCAGTGTCACAGTACTCTTTCCTATACTTTCTTCTCAGAATTGTATAGATTTAGCTCTGTTTGCATCTTTTTAAAGAATTATTTTATTTAACTTCCTTTCTTTCTTTGACCAGAGAAGGACAGGGTAAGAAAGAGAGAGAAAGTGAGAAAGCAAGCCACCAGTTCCAGAACGCTGGCCCCATCTGTTTAAGTCTTTATTCTAGTTTTTCTGTATTCACTCACATGCGCATGCACACATGTGTATGAGAGAGAGAGAGAGAGATGAGCACCCTGCACAGGATCTGGTCACACTGCGATCCCTTTCCTCCCACCCTCCATTCATGTGCGTGTCTAGCATGTTTTCAGGCTGATTGGGCCGGTGATTCAAAATTCATTTGTCAGATGGGATCTGAAAGGGTCTCTGCACAAAACTGACCTCTTCAATCTATTTTGAGTTAATTTTCGTATGTGGCATGCACACCCGTATTCTAAGTTCCTTTCAGATTGCTCTGGGATCTGTCCTTCCTCAGTCGTGATCTGCGCCATTCATTATGTCCACAGTTTAGCGTGGGCTTTGGAGCCAAACCATTCCAGTTTGAGTCCCATCTTAGCTATTTGCTAGCTGTGTACTCGTGAGCAAGGTCCCCGACTTCCCTGTGCCTGTCTCCTCATCTATGAAATGAAGATGTGGACCGCCCCTAACCCATGGGTTCTTGTGAGGATTCATGCCGAAAGCCCCCAAGAGGTCCCTAGCACCCCAGAAAGTGCTCACTGGGGGGTAGTTACTACTGTCCCTCCTGGCACTGGATTTTCTCTTGTACTTGGGGAGCTCAATCTACAAGCCATCTTCTGTTGTAATAGCTTGGTGCAGGGTCCCATGCAACACCTGCCTCTTACAGGACCCACTTAGAAAGAAGCTGTATCTGGCACAGTCTTGGTGGCACAGACAGCAGGGTTGCCATTCTACAATGCTGGAGACCGTGGAAGGTTCCAGGTTCTTGTCTCAGCACTCCTGCTGTGCCTGTGATCCTGGCTGGTGGGGCTCAGGGGAGGATCACAGTGTCATGGGTACCTATTTCTCTCTGGAAATAAATAAATAAACTTTAAAAAATAAAAAGAAAAAAGAGAGGCCGGCAGGTGGTGTGGTGGTTAAGGTGCTGGACTGCCACATGGCCGACCACGGTTTGAGTCCTCTCTGGTCAAATTAAAAAATAACAATTTTTTTAAAATGATAAATAATTTTTAAAAAATAAATAAAAAGAAGAAAGGAAGGAAGGAAACCGTTTCCTGGCTTGCAGCTGAGTGGAGGCATCACCTGCACGTGATCAGCTGCCTCTCCCACACACTAGTGCTGCAGCTCCCAGGAGGAATACGGTTTTCCCCTCCGTGTGGCCACAAGGCTTCACCCCCAACTCCCTGCCACAGGTGTCCCCTCCGTCTCCAACATCTGAAGAGCCCCCCCTTCTTGCCTTCCAGCTAACTCTGCCTTTTGCATTTTCAAAACACTGGGACCGCCACGGAGCTGTATCGGTAACGCAACAGACCAAAGCTCGGCAACGCTGACTCCGAGAAGGTCCCAAGTTCGCACCCAAAGTCTCCTTGTACATGACAGGCAGTGCGTGCTAGTGATCCTGACCGGCTGAGGCTGGCATGGATTGCACCATGGAGACCCTGCGGAAAGTACCTCTTTCTGTGTCTCTCTCACTCTCTCTCTCATCACTGAAAAATAAACCTTAAAAAAATTACTATGTTGGAGGAACCAGCAGTTAGCGTAATGGCTATGTCACTGGACTCCCACGTAGTCGACCGCGGTTCACGTCCCGGACCCAGTGACTTAAAACTCACGCCGGGCGTGTGTGCGTGCGTGCCCAAGATCCCGCAAGGAGAATGGAGGAGAAGGGATTGTGCCGTGACCATCCCCCTCTGGGGGGTGATTTCTTGCTTTCTGTCTCCATGTCTCTGTCTGTCTGGCGAGCGCACGTGCCCTATAGTGAAAACCTCTCAAAAAAAAAAAAAATACTATGTTTATCAAGTAGGTCTTACGTGCTTGAAATAGGAGGGGCTACCTCTCTGTGAGCTCACTCGCTGATTTTTTCCCTTTCCTCCTACTGTTTCAGATCTATTTTGACCATAATAGATCATGATTTGAGGCTGGTTTGATCATTTTCCCTGGTCATGCTATCAGCTCATTTGTGGGGGGCAGGTCTTTGTGAAGACATGGGTGGGCGGGGGCTCAGAGTCACTGGAGAGGGCACAACTGGAGGGAGTTCAGGTGTGGAGGAACGTGATTCTGAGGAAGCAGTCCCAAGATGGGACCGGTGGAGGGTCCCTCCCTCCAAGACTGGTCACACTGCAATTCCTTCTCCATGTCTCTCTCTTTTGAGGACTTTGGGCACACACACACACACACACACACCTAGCACATTTCTCAAGCTACCAGGTCTGGGGCTCGAACCCGTGGTTGGCCCTGTGGGATCAAGCTGACCTGGGGCTTTCCAGTTCTGTCATTCCGTGGCTGACGCAAGGCTCCTGATGTCACAATATGGAGCTGGCTTGTGATTGGCTTATAGCCTCCCGCAGCTCTGTTGTTCCCTTGGTCATGGGAACAAAATGGATTCGCCCAAGACCTTCCCTACTTGTGCTCCTCTGTTATGGGCAGCTCTTGCCATGGCTCAGGGCCGAGGGCGATCTGAGCTTAAGTACAGCTGGGACCCAAAGCAGCCTGGGACCAGACAAAGGGACTAAGCAGGCAGGGGCAGACTCCTCCCCAAACGAGACGCCCACCTCCTTCCCTGCAGCTAACTTCTACAATGAGTCGGAGGCGAGGAAGTTCTTGGCGTTTTACGAGCAAACAGCCCAGCTTGTGTTGAACCAGTTTGTGGAGGCCACTTGGAACTATGTCACCAACATCACCAGGACAAATCAGGAGAACATGGTGTGGTACCGCCTCCACCCCACCCTTCTCGCTTTGCTCTTCTCGGCTCCCATAGGGGGAGACAGGGACTGCACCTTCTGTCCCTATCCAGAGCTAGAAGACAGACAGAGGGAAACCCCAAAAGGTGCCAAGGCAAGCAGGAAGCCTAAGGCCTCATACTGGTGCTAAACTTTCCCCGGACTAGAATCACTTGTTCCTTTCCCCTTGTAAATCTCACCTCCTCACCTTGAGGGACCCAGGTTTTCTCCCTCTCTCTCAGCAAATCGGCCATGATTCCGGATCTAAGTGGGCTTAGAGAGTGGGGTTAGGCCATCACCCTAGAGTTCGATATGGGACACTCGTCCTGTCCTCCAGCCCCCCACAACAAACACCATGACCCTCATTCCAGCTGCACAAGGAAGTGGAGAAGTCCCAGTTCATGATGTACTTTGGCAGCCGAGCTCGCCTGTTTAAGACGGCCCAGCTCCAAGACCTGGATGTGAAGCGTGCGCTGAGTAAGCTGCAGGACATAGACAAGGCGGCCTTGCCCAAGGACGAGCTCTGGGAGGTGATGGACGGAGCCCCCAGGCCTCCAGGCGCTCGCTCCCCCAACCCTGGGGGTGGGCAGGCTAGACTGGTCGGGGAGCCAGAGTGTCTGGAGCAGGAGGGAGGTGGGTAGAGCAGGGCCAGAACTTTCACTGAGGGAGGAGAGGGTGAGAAGTGGGGTGAGGGGGATCCTTCAGCCAGACTTGCCTCTCCTGGTTGGTGGGGCTACCACTGGGAGGGCATCCAGGGCCACGGGCCTGCCCTGGGTGACACCTGACCCCCCAGTACAACAAGCTTCTGGCCGACATGGAGACGACATACAGTATGGCCCAGGTGTGCCTGAACGAGGGGCCCTGCATGTCCCTGGAGCCTGGTGAGCACCCTCGTCACGCCCTGCCCTGTCCCTGCCCAACTTCAGTCCCCAGCACCAATTCCTTCCATGGCCTCCCAACCCCCACTGTGCACCTTTGGTGGGGGTGGTGAGGCCAGGACAGAGGCAGGTGGCAGTGAGGCCCCACATGGCTCTTTATCTGGGCAGAGCTTGAAGACATCATGGCCAACTCCAGGGACCAGAAGGAGCTGCTGTGGGCCTGGCAGGGCTGGCGGGATGCAGTGGGGCGCCTGATCCGCACCTCCTTCGAGCGCTACGTGCAGCTCAGCAACAAGGTTGCACAGCTCAACGGTGAGCGATGCCCGCAGGGGACCAAGCCAGACCTGCCGAGGGCCAGGGTGGCAGACGGACCCCGGGGGCAGGAGCCAGAAGCCCTGCAGCCAGGTTCCACAAATATTGTGTTGTCCGGATTCTTTTTTGCCTTATTCGTGACAGAGTGTGTGCCTGCACTTGAGCATGAAGGGACGGGAGGGAGGGAGGAGCACCCTCCATGGAAGTCTGGTCACTCCACAATCCCTCCAACTCTCCCTTGGATTCTGGGCACTCACAGGCAGGCCTGGCATGATTCAGGCACATGGGGTAGGGATTCGAACTGTGATTGCCATCTGGGATCCAGCTTCTCTTGAGCACCTCGCTCCAGCTGTGCCGAGGAGCAGACCCTTGCTTCACAGGTGTGAATACTCTACGTGCTGGGTGCTGGGGAGGGCCTGTAGATCTGCAGGTGAAAAGGCAAAGCACCTGCCTGCCTGGGATGAGGCCAAGGAGGAAGGGGCTGCTGAGAGAGCAAGGGGAGACCTGTCCCAGGTAAGTAGTCAGGAATGGCCTCTCTGACATTCATCCAAGGTCCAAAAGGTGGCCAAGAGCCAAGAAGCAAAAAGTGGCGGAGCTCTGCAGAGGGAGGGAGCCATGTTTTGGAGGATCTGCGGGAAGCCAGTGTGGCCATGGGGCTCTGGATGTGACGGGGCTCGAGGAGGGGCAAGGGCGGGAGGACGTAGGGCCTCACGGGAGGAGCGAGCAGCTGGGATTCTGCCTTTTCAAGTGCGTTTCCATCTCTGACCTGATCCAGTATGGACAGCGGTCTTGGGAGGTGTGACTCTCACTTTGCAGATGCAGACTGAGAATTAGGGAAGCCGAGGGGCTTCCCCGGAAGAGGCCTGGCTCTCCCGCTGAGGCCAGCGCTAAAGGGAGGGGTGATGAGCACCTGGTGAGTCCTCTGTCCTCCCCTAGGTTACAACGACATGGGGGCCTTGTGGCGTGCCCGGTATGAGTGGGACACTCTGGAGCAGGACCTGGAGCAGCTCTTCCAGGAGCTGCAGCCGCTCTACCTGAACCTGCACGCCTCCGTGCGCGCG